TGTGTCTTATGCCCCCAGACAGAGTTTGCTGCTGCACAGTCCTGGATTTTGGAGGAGGAGTGCTGGGAGAACGGGTGGCCGTGGCCTCAGCTGGGCCCCATTTCAGCCCCTTCCCCTTCTCATAGAATCATAGAATCATAGAATATAAGGGTTGGAAGGGACCCCAGAAGGTCATCTAGTCCAACCCCCTGCTCGAAGCAGGACCAATTCCCAGTTAAATCATCCCAGCCAGGGCTTTGTCAAGCCTGACCTTAAAAACCTCTAAGGAAGGAGATTCTACCACCTCCCTAGGTAACGCATTCCAGTGTTTCACCACCCTCTTAGTGAAAAAGTTTTTCCTAATATCCAATCTAAACCTCCCCCACTGCAGCTTGAGACCATTACTCCTCGTTCTGTCATCTGCTACCATTGAGAACAGTCTAGAGCCATCCTCTTTGGAACCCCCTTTCAGGTAGTTGAAAGCAGCTATCAAATCCCCCCTCATTCTTCTCTTCTGCAGGCTAAACAATCCCAGCTCCCTCAGCCTCTCCTCATAACTCATGTGTTCCAGTCCCCTAATCATTTTTGTTGCCCTTCGCTGGACTCTCTCCAATTTATCCACATCCTTCTTGAAGTGTGGGGCCCAAAACTGGACACAGTACTCCAGATGAGGCCTCACCAATGTCGAATAGAGGGGAACAATCACGTCCCTCGATCTGCTCGCTATGCCCCTACTTATACATCCCAAAATGCCATTGGCCTTCTTGGCAACAAGGGCACACTGCTGACTCATATCCAGCTTCTCGTCCACTGTCACCCCTAGGTCCTTTTCCGCAGAACTGCTTCCTAGCCATTCGGTCCCTAGTCTGTATCTGTGCATTGGGTTCCTTTGTTTCTTTGTTATCTTTGCTACTACGATCAAACTGTTTATGCTCTAAAATGCAGCTATGCAGCTATGAGCTGTGATCTCGTAGGATATCATACGCAAGATCGGTCCTTGTCCATAGTTAAGGAAAACCAAAAGTGTGGCAGGTACTAGTGTTCGTGATTCAACAGGTGGTATTTCATCTTCTCATATATACAAGAAGGAGTCTTATTGCTTCAGCCCATATTTTCTCTGACTCCCCATTTATTTTAGAATCCATTTCAAAATTGCCTGTATTGTTTATAAATTCTCTGTGACTTTCTCTTCCCTTCCTCCCTCCCTCCCTTTATTTTTTCTTTATATCCTGCTTAACCCCTTCAGCTCATCTACCCTCAGCTGCCTTTGGCTGTTCCTGTAATCTGTTTTCCTTTTGACCCTTTGAAATTGTACATTAAACATGCATCATAGAAAAAACAAGTTTACAGATAGATATATAAGTAGGACCCTACCAAATTCACAGCTGTGAAAAACATGTCATGGACCGTGAAATCTGACTATTGCAGAGGAGACCAGATTTCACAGAATTGGGCGGCTGGAGAGCAGCTCCACCTGAGACACCTCCTCTTTCCTCCTCTGTGGATTTACAACTAAAAGGAGCATCTTAAAGTATGGACTGAGGACCTTCCAATCTTTTGGAGGTTATCAGAGAGACTTCTGCAAGCCAGCAGCCTATTCCATCACATCCTGATATAAAGACTTTGCTATGTATGTAATCTATTAACCATTTATAACTCTCTTCTTTTCTTTTGTTAATACATCTTTAGTTCGTTTACTAGGGAATGGCTGACAGCATGGTATTTGGGTAAGGTCTGACATACACATTGACCTGGGGTGGTAAGTGTCTGATCCTTAGGATTAGTAAGAACCTCACATATGGTGAATTGGATTTTCAGTAACCTCTCACTATGTGAGACCTATTTATCTGGATGGGAGCCAAGGGTTGGAATGACTAAGGGGGACTGTTTGGCTTCTGGATAATCAGTGTGGCATTGCAGAAGCTCTTTTGTTACTGGCTTGGTGAAGCTAATTATAGAATAAACCACCAGTTTTGGGGAATTGCCTCCCCTGTTTCTTGTAGTTTGCCCTGAGTGTGGCATTCTCAGTGTGGTCCATTCCAGGCACCCGGTCACAGGGGGGTTACAGGGCTAGCTGTACCTCTGTCTCCTTTCTGGTCTCTCTCCCTTCAGGTATTAGGCCTTGTGTCTTTACCTCTCCCAGGCTGCAGTTCTATTTCTATTCTGCAGCCTGGGCTACAGTACCGCGTGTATCCATTATTCTTACCCTGAAGGTCTGACTGAATTCAGCCACCTGTGATTCTTCCCTTCAGGAGTCTGTGACCAATGGTGTGTACAGTGACTGGCACAACACTAGGTTTCCTACAAAACAAGTGTCTGTTGTTTCTTAGTTGGACACCAAGCTTCTTACCTGGATATCTTTTAATGGGCATCACTCCCTCTGCTCCCTGTTTACATCTTGTCCCCTGTTTTTCCATTTTAAATTAAAGAAATATTGTCACATACAAACCATGCCAATAACCAGCCCAACATATAGTGTTCAATAATTATCACAGTGTAGCTTCACATCTCTATGACAACCTCATATAAAATTTACAGTACATGCAGTACTCTGACTTCATTTGATGTTTGTCTCCATGTCACCTATAACACATACCTAAGTTTGATTGATGGATTTTAAATTATGAATATTTTAACTTAAGCAGCCATATTTTTAAATGATGCCATTTGAAACTTTCTCTCCTAAGAGAGATGGACCATGTTAAAATATCTAAAATTTTAGATTATTCCAATTTTGAAATGACTCAGAGTTGAAGAGGCCCAATGCTCTAAGCTACTCTAAGATTAATTTTATGTTCACAATTTTAAATTTGCTTAAATATTATCTTTAAACTTTTAGCTGGATTTGTAGATTCCCATTGGGACATAAAAAGAAATGTGATTCTGAAGAATATGGCCCATATTATTAGATCTGGTCTTAACATTTCCAATGGAAATGTATATCTTTTATTGAAATTTTCAACCAAATTTATCAAAATGTTTTGTTGCAATAAGGTCACTTCAACATTTATATTGTATTTTATAATCCTTGTCCCAGTCTGTTTACCCAGCCAGTCCCAGTTCTCCCCCTACATCCTAGTGTCTTGTCAAATCTATCCCTCATTTCTACTGCGCCGGTTCTTCCTCCCACTGTTTCCTAGTCTGTCAGTCTCTTTTTCCAGCCAGTCTCAATCTATGCTCATCCAACTGGTTCCCAGTCTCCCCTTTCCTTCACCAACTCCCAGTCAGTCTCCCCCCACAGCTCTTAAAACCAGTCTCCTTGCCCAACCTGTCCAAGTCTGCCTTCTCACTCAGCTCCCAGTCTCCACTCTTCAAATCCCACTCACAGTTTCTCTTCCCACCTCTTCCTCTAGTCCCACTATCACCAGACTCCTTGTCCCAATCTACTCCTTTCCCTCCCGCTCGGTCTGGCTTTTGTCTGTTCTGCATTTGAATGCAGCTTCCTCTTCACTGCTGCCTGGGTGCCATGGGAGGGGGGGGGGGAGCAGCTGGAGGGCTCATTTAGAGCACAGGAGACACAGGTGCCCTTTACTCAGTTCTAGCGTCCAGCCCAACCTTGACCCGGAACACCCATGACAGGGAAAGTTCTTCTGAGCCCCTTAACTCTTGGCTGGAGCATGCTCAGTTGCTGTGTACAGGGCTGGCTCTTGGATATTTGCCACCCCAAGCAAAAAAAATTTTGGCCGCCCCTGCTTTTTTTGGTGCCCGCCCCTGGCTCTGCCCCAACTCTTCCCTTTCCCCAAATCCCCAGCCCCGCCTCCTCCCCCGGGCATGCCGCATTCCCCCCCCATTGCTTCCTGCAGCTCCTCCCCGCCCCAACCCTCTGTCCTAGCTCACCTCCGCTCCTCCTGCTCCCCTGAACATGCCGCCGCTTCGCTTCTCCCCCCTCCCTCTCAGGCGAGGGAGAGGCAGCGCGTTCAGGGGAGCAGGCGGAGGTGGAGCGGAGGTGAGCTGGGGGTGTGGGGGCACGTTTCTAGTGGCAGCATGGCCGGCACCGGAATGCTGCCCATAGAAATGTGCCACCCCAAGCAACTGCTTGTTTTGCTGGTGCCTAGAGCCGGCCCTGGCTGTGTGCAACTGAACTTGGCTGAAATTTTCCAAAACAATTCAGTCTGAGGCACACAGTTGGTATGGAAAATTTCAGACCAAAGTTTGGTGAAGTTATAAGCAAATGAAAACAGGGTTTTGTAACGGTAAGTGTTGGGCACCCTTAATACCAGCACTACCAATCACACTTATATATTTGAAGGGTGTTGTAGTGGATAGGGCACTGGACTGGGAATCAGGAGACCTGGTTTTAATTCTCAGTTCAACCACAGTCTTCCTGTGTGACCTTGGACAAGTTATTTAATCCATCTATAAAATGGGAATTATACCTCATAGGCTGTTTTGGTGATAAATCCATTAATGATTTTGAGCCACTTGGATACTACAGTGATAAGGGTCATATAACTACACACGTGTGTGTGTGTGTAATAAATAAAAATGAATAAAGCATAATATTTTCCAGGTTAAGCATAATCTCTTTGATTTTTCAGAATACATTTGCAGTGCTAAGTTACAAGAAAATACAAATCAGTAGCAACCATGTCAAGATGCAGCATATTCTCCCAGTAACTGAATGTCCCCTTTGGATTGAGTCCCTCGCTCCCTACAATTAAATTGAATAGTTGGTCACCATCTTTCCACACATAAATTTGCAAACTTCTGGTAAATGAATTGGTGAAACAGAACTTGAAAAAATTGGCAACACTGTCAGATATAATACATATTTTTTCTTATATACTGTGCTAGAGAACATTAGAAATATGACACAATGTATATGTATGTATGTATGTAAAATCTCCTAAAAATGATGTTTCCTTTTTTGTGAAAGTAAATTATATCTGTTTTCTTCCCAATGTTCAGTAGCTGTTTCACTGCTAACATTTCCTTATTGACCCTACAGAAGAAATACCCTTATTGTTGCAAAATTTTCCGCAGTGTAATTTAGTTCATCCAATCATTTTGTGTTGTTACAGAGGATCTTGATGATTTAAGAATGGAAGGAGTAACCAGTGTGATGTCTTCTGGGAGTAAATTTAACCAAACTCGAAGTGCACATCCTGCTGAACCTCAGGCAAAGGTCACGTTGAACATCTGCGCAAGGTGTGCCAGGTAAAACAATAGTCAGTCATAATAACAAGTAGATTCTTTTCTCCAGCTTTTTTAGACAACTACTGTGTTTACTTAAGGGCTAAGGCATGACCGCCCCTTTGCTAAAGGAAAATGACTTTGCTCCTAGCTATCCTTTGGCCTATTTGGCAACTGAATTTTATGTAGTGCGTGATACCATTCACATCAACAATGAATCAGAGTATAGGTAGTCTTGAGCCTTGCTTCACAGCTTGAAACTATTTTAAGCCTTTCTGAATTCCATTAGTTATCTGAGCTTCTGTGGCTTTTCAAGGGATGAATCAGGGAATTTAGCAGTTCAAAATCAATTTAAAAGCACCTGTATAAATGGAACTATAGTTGCACAGGGGCAGTTCAGCATTTCATAAAGTTGCATTTTAACACTTCAAAATCTCATCCTGTTTCACCTCTTAGAAATAATTTAATCAGTTTGAACCCTTTTAGATTTTGGTAGCTGGAAGTAATTTTTGTATTTCCAGTCTGAGGGCATTCAAACAGCTTGGTGTTCCTAAAGCCAAGTCAACTAAGAATGCAACATTAGTTGAAATGTCTTAAATTTTAGATTTAATCTCTCTCTATAGACACAGGATAATTTGGAAGATTTAAAATCATTTAAGCCTGTTTAAATAACAAAACTAGTCTTTTTACCCCGAGGTAAATGGCATAGATTAACAAGACCAATACAGAGGTTTGCTAATTTTCTCTCCTTGCCTTTACCACTGGCTGCTCTGTGTTGTTTTGAGGGGATTAGCTACTTGTATATAGAAATAACCTCTGGTGAAATCAAATTGGTAATTTTGGTGTGTGCCACCCTAGTTTTGCCATTTTTCCATTTTAAGATTATCGCTTTTTAAAATGTCACCTGTTTGCAGTGTTGTTGTAACCATGTTGGTCCCAGGATACTAGAGAGACAAAAAGAAAAGGAGTACTTGTGGCACCTTAGAGACTAACCAATTTATTTGAGCATAACACGGCTGATACTCTGAAACCTGTCATTATTTAGAGAGACAAAGTGAATGAGGCAATATCTTTTACTGGTGAAATAGATAAGCTTTCGAGTTTTCACAGAGCTCTTCTTCAGGTTTAGGGATGTTGACTTGAAAACACTCGCTGGTACTCCTAATATACCCACAGGCATGCTAAATCCCCAGCTGTACCACACTGTCAACACTGTTCCCAGAAAGTGATACCTCTGAGAGTTACATGGCAGCATTGTCAATACAGCTGTGTCAACACTGTGAGCGGTAAAGCCTGTAATTCTCGAAAATTTTGCTTTTGGTGGTGAGGTGTTGTACCTTCAAAAATGACTAAAATATAGTCCTGTACCTTAGAGAGGAAATGAATAAAATACAGTACTGATGACCATCTTCCTAAATCATAGGGAATAAAATGTTAACATTGTGCAACATGCTTCCAAATAACCTCATATGTAGACGTAACTACATTTTCGCAACTAAGTGCTCATCCATATGTTAAAAGTTGGAAACAAATAAATTAGGAAGATTTGGGTTTTCTATATGTAGACTTGTACAAAGATTTAATACAAATACTTTATATGGATCTATTTTTAAGGAGTGAGGTTAAACCTACCTTTGGAAGTGTTTGAATTGATACATTGGGTGTCAATGATTGCATTGAAACTAATTGTTGTTGTAATTTCATATTACCTTTCACATCTCTTTTTATTATTTTAAGGGTTATAAATAAATAGTTCCATGTCCTGCTTACCACGGTGTTCTTATGAGGCAAGAAGTCACTTTAGGAGCCACACAGATGTTATTTGGCCACCAAATCCAGCTCACCCAGACTCAGTGGGTTGAATCTTTGAGTCAAATCTTGGCCTACTCTAAGGCCCCTCTGCACCACTGTAATGGTGCACATGGACCATTACAACTGCCTTTGATGGGCAGCTGAAGATTTCCCTGGTAGGTTTTCCCCCTGAGGCTAATTCAATGCTGACTCAAAAACTGTGGGATGGGACATGAAGGAGGGTTATAAATCCAGCTTTGCTGGGCCCCATGTGTGCTAAATAGTGCTCATATGCACATATGGGTTGATCTGCACACTTCCCTCTCTCAGCCCTGTTGGATGATGGCAGAGAGGACCTGACTGAGAATTTATCTGTCTCTACCATACTCATCACCTGAGTACCTGAACACCTGCCTCCATTCCTTTGACTCTTCCTGCTGTTCATCAGCCTCTTTAAGCTTCCAAGGAACCATAGACCTTTCTGCCCCAATGCCATTGGGGGAAAGCTCTCAAGTTAAAGGTGGAAAATGTAAATGTACTTTCACTGCCTATCCTTGCTCAATTTACATTGGGGACACATTCAAGCAGACTGGTCCACATTCCTTAGTCTAGGGTGGGATGACGTAAGCCGTACATGCAAAACATATTTTTAAGAACATATTTCTAGCACATATTTATATTTTTTCCTATATCACCTGTATGTGCACCCTACAATAATATTAATGGACCAGTGTATTACCAGTTCACATATGATACCTTAGATGACACAGTTTAGATACAGATTAAGACAACAGTGAGTTGGGGTACACTGAGTTGGTCAGGACAGCTGAATCTCACTGCTACATACCAGGGGGCCCCTTGTCCTCTGGCATTGGGGTGCTCTTAGGGTCACATTGACCTATATTGTGTTTATAGTTATGCACCATGATCTTGGTAGTGGGCACTTTAGAAAAAAATGAAAAATAAATACAAATTAATATAAGTTATTATTAGAACTTTTAAATACGGTTAAACAGGTAAGTGTGTTCCCATTAACTTCACCCATTTTATGGCTTGTAATAATGGAGCTGTATAAGGTGACTTAAAGTGAATACTCCCATTTAATTTCAGTGGAAGTTCTGTAGGTAGGAGACTTGTCAAATCACTTACCATTTATCACAGGCATTTTGGCTGCCTGTGGAATGAATAGAACTTCTTCACTTATGCATTTTTTGCTTAATTGGCAGAGATTTAAATATTGGGAAATGTGCATCTTGGCTCAGACAAAAATGTAATTTTACCCCTGCATTTGCACATCCAGGTCCTTTCACCCTCCTACACTTTTCAAATGTGCCCTTCTCCAATTCGACTCCTAGGCCAAGGTACTCTCTCTGATGCTTTTACTAGAGGTTTCCCGTCTTCCTAAGAGGAGGCTTTGTGACACTGCAGAACTGTTCTGGGAGGGATTTCTGTAGATGACTTCAGGAGTTTAGCAGTAATGCTTTTAAATAGTAGCCTAATCATCATTAATTCTTTTGATTTGATTGTGGATATGATGCACATTTTTATAAAATTTCTACCATAATTCTTTGCCATAATCATCAACTAATTTTATCCACTGTGTAACAAAAGATGACCCATAAAGAGCTTCTTTTACAGTACATTCTCCAAGGTCCTGACTTCTCTCTCAGGAGGAAGTGAGAGCTTTCTTAGAAAGTGCTGGAAATAGGAGTCCAGAAATATCCAGGCATGGGTTTGAACTAACTACAAAAAGTTCAATGATTGATGAATGTGCAGGCGGGTCTTTTTTTCTAAACCTCAAAAGCTGATAATTTCCCTAACTAGTCCTCTTCAATTGATAGGTATATCAAGGCAAAGATCAGTACTATTAATAAAACGTAACATTCTCCTCCTAGAGATATGGATGATAAAGATGTAGGTCTCGTTCAAGTCATCACACCAAATTGCTTTGTAAAATTTTATGATACAAAGGAGGGTCTTAAATCTACAGGGTGATAAAGAGGTTTGTTGACTAGAATACAGACTACAGATAGAGAGCTTCCTGCTTTCCATATAGATGTTTCGCACATTGGGAGAGAAATGCAGATGGATAACAGCTTGAGAGAGTTTTCAAACTGGAAAATAGTAATAAAAAAATGTTTTTCCCATAGCTCTTCAAAAACTAACCAGAGTGCAATTTAGGCATCATATTAAGTCATTTGAACAAAAGGGTAACATAATTCAAAAGGTTCATAGATTGCAGAAATAAGAGACATATAGAAATATCTAGTTTGGAATATTTGTTCTCTGTGATCACAGAGAAGAGAATTAGCAAAGGCAATTTTAGATAGGGAGAATAAATTTGATTTAAAACATTTGAGTAAAATGTTTGTCAACATTTATCTAATAAATAATTGCATTCCATGAAATGGCACAAATCTCTCAGCTGACTCAGAGAATGGTCTGATTCACTGTACAGTAGATCTTATAACTATTGATTCATGAATTTTAGTTTTAGCTGGTGAGTCGTAATCAGACATCTCCCACGTATAAAGAAAAAAACATATGGGTTCAATATTTGCCTACTTACAAGATTAGCAGAAAAGCATCTATGTTTTGTTATATTTTGTAACTTGGCTGTTGTTTCGGTAACACACTCAGTAATACTGTGAAAGAAATTGACATTTACTCTATAACCTGAAGAAGAGCTGTGTGTAGCTCGAAAGCTTGTCTCTTTCACCAACAGAGGTTGGTCCAATAAAAGATATTACCTCACCCAACTTGTCTAATATCCTGGGACTAACACAGCTACAACAATACAGCAAACAATGTAGTCTATAAGGCATTTGTTGATCAGGTATAAGATAAAGCCAGTGTACTTCACTGAGCAATCATTTCAATGGAGTTAAGGGGCTTTTTTTTAAAAGACCACCCATTAGGCTTATATGCCTGCTGCCATGCTCAAAAGTTAAATCTTGTACTTGTGGACTCTTGCCAATACATTCCTGGAAGTAAGACGCTTTTTGTTTTTAATAGTGTAAGGGTGCATTCATTCTTCTTAACATCAGTAGCATACAAAAAGGGGTTGCATGTGATTAAAAAAGAAATGGGATTATAGAAAACATACCCAGCCACAAGCATGAGGGATTCTGAACAAGAATGTCAGAAGAGAGCACTGGTTGCATACAAATGTGTATTTCAAACAATAAAATTTGCTCCATATTTTGATCTGAGACCAGCTGGACCAAGAGCAC